CAATGGGATCAGAACATCCAGGGTGGAGCTGGGGCAAGGGGATGGCCATACATGAACAACCACACCAGTGTCTCAGTGGAAAAAGGACCAGAGAGCTCCAGCCCTGTTGCAAACCAAGTTGGTCAAGGCCACAACCAGAGCAGAGCTGTTTGTCTCTTCAGATACCTCAAGAAGTGCAAGGAGTGCAAACATGAACCTTTCCTGGGATTACTGTCCTCCAGAAACTGTACTACTGTGTAGAAATACATAGAAGATCTAAGAATAAAGTAGAAGATCTAAGTAAAGAAACAAGTGGAATACCTAAGTAAAGAATTCAATAGGATAGTCTGAATTTGCATCTTAAACATTTCTTTCCACACCACGCTGTAGAAACACAATGGAAGCAGACTTGGCAAATACCATCCATATGTTCCACAAAATGACTGAGGGAGCACAATGTGAACATTACTCCTGGACTGGATCAAGAAAATGCATTAAAAAAATTGCATAAGTGGAATAGAGATATACATTAACTCAATGTTTGCTTATTATGGAATTAAAAAACGTATACCTGTAATTATGGCTTACCCCCATTACAAGCAGAGCTGCCACAGAACTGAACACAGGCCAGCTTTATTCAGGAGTTCAAAGCCAGTGTGATGGTGCCTTATTTTCCTACTAACATCATCTTTATCCTCTCTTGCCCTTCTTCTCAGCTAACAAGAGTTATGTACTGAAAGTGCTGAGATAAAGTAATGGTAAGGAGGATACCGCAAAAGGTATTTGAAAAGCAGAAGTAATTTACTACATGTCTGCTTTGTTTTACTTCCTAAGCCTTCCTGTTGTGAAGGGAAATTCATCTTTTCTGGCAGACTCCAGCCTTTTTAGGTCGGAGAGCTCCCCAGGAGCTTTCGAGTGCAGGTAAATGGATGTGAGACTCAAGGAGTGCAGCCCAAGGAACATGGGATTAATGCTGGGGCTTGCTGTGGCTGTCACACCTGACACACAAGGAGACTGCTGCACCCTTGGTCGCAGGAAATATCTGTAAAAGGAACAAAGCTGAGCTCTCTGCTCATCACTGCAGGCCTGATGTGCCATGAAGGGAAAGGTTGTGATGCTGCTGGTGGGTGAAGCATGAAGGATCTTCCCCCATGGAGAAGTCTCACCATGAGACAGACACCAGGGTGCCTCAGCAGAGCAAGAGAAAGCTCTGTGGATGGACAATAGGTGCAGCCTGTGTCCTGCACACAGGAGCAGGCACGGGGGAAGGAAGCATCCACAGCCTGATGGAAATAGCACACAGAGTGGTTTTGTCCTCTTCTGTTCTGCGGCCAGTTTGCACATATGTTCTGAGCATACAGCCTGCCCTCCAAAGACCACTTAGAGGGGCAATCACAGGGAAGCAAAGCAGGAAGAAAAGTGTCCAAAAAGGGAATTTGTTCAAGAGAAAAAAAATGGAGACAGATGTAGAGCGGCGAGTCACGGCTGGCGGTAAATAACCCTCTGCCTGGAGTGCTCTCCTTCTCCAGGAGGAGTTCACATATTCCATTTCATATTTCCTTTCTAGGAAGTCAAATCTTTATTTTTCTGGCGTTTGTTCTTTTTCCCTTCTGTATGGTCTAAAGCTTGCCTTCTCATTTTCCCTTTCTTTTCTAGGTTTTGCTCTCTTTGAAGCGCATTTCTTCCACCTCCCTCTCCCACAGTCCTGATTTCCCTGCACTGTCCCAGGCCACACCTTTCAGTCCCACCCTCTCCCAGTGCCTGTGCCACCAGCACGTGTGTGCTTCACACCTGCCCCAGGGTTTGAGTCTCCCCTCTTTCTCATGTGCACACCTCAAAATTAAGCAGATGCGACACATGGAGATGGAATATTCATCCTCTCACTCCCATAAACCTGTCAAGGCATATAGGCCAAGAAGCTATCTCTGCATAAATCTAAATCTCCTGTGAGGAAGCAATCTACTCAAAGGCAATAAAGGCAAAGGATGTATTATTATCTTTGGTGTGGATCCTACTGGGCTGGGAGGTTGGCTGCTGGCTCCTCTCTGAACTTTCCTTCCCAGCCAGAGCAGCCATCCCACAGACAAGTCTAAGCTTCCTTTCCTTGCTCTGACTTCCTCCTCCTGTTGTTTGGCCAGTAACCCAGAGGACAGGGTTTAATTATGGACTTTGGAAACCTGGCTTGCACTGCTCTGCCAGCACGGGATAAAACCTCAGCCTGTCTTCTGAAACAGCCCCATTCTGCACTGCTGATACCTGTGTTATCCCACACTGCACAAAATGAGCTGTGGGAAAGAAGTGCCAAGCTAAACAAAAAGATGGGTTTAGTCTTTAAACTTCTGCTGCAAATTTCACCGAGAAGAAAACAAAACACCGAAGCTCAGAGATTACTGCATGCTAAAAACTGTGCCACCATTTTGATTGTAGATTAAATCAATGGCAAGGCTTTTCTCTGGAAATAAAGACATCGGAAGGGATGGATCTGAAACTGGTCCAGGCTCCAAAGCTCCCTCTCAGAGAGGACTGCTGTGGAAAGCTCACAGCTAAAATGGGATGTTAACATCACTTCTACATTATTTTCTAGCAGATGTCCACTAAAGACTCCCCAAACATTTTGGAGGTGAAAGCCCCGTGTCCAACACAAAAGGCCACAGGTTAGTGTCACACGCAGGTGTGATGTCTGTGCACAGACCACAGCAGGATGTGTCCCTCGGGGAGCACCTCAGGCCAGTGACAACCACTGCTGCCCTGGCAAGGAAGGACACTCAGCACTGCTTTGTCCTTCACCACTGATGAGCTCTCCAGGTAATCCCTCTGTCAGCCGTACTCTTGCAGTGACCCTGCTTCACAGAGAGGCTGAGGCAATGAATTCAGAGGACAGGCTGCTGGAAAGCCACTGGGGTGGGGCTGCGTGGATAAAGCACAGGGATGGCTTGGAAGTGCATCCCACGTGGGCAGGATAAAGAAAGCTCTTTTTCCTCACAGCTGTGACAGTGATAGATGGCTCGGTGGATCTGAGCTATATCTAGTTGGTACCTGGCTACAGTCCCTGATGCTGCAAGGTGATTTTCTGCCATTTTACAGGCAAGACTAAGCAGAATCTGGGATTTTTCTATAATAAGTGAGGAAGGTCACGAGGAAGGAAGAACCTTCTCTTGTCTGACTTGCTCTTGCCTCTCTGAGCACCTCAGGAAGTTTGACATAGGCAGCTGTGCTTCCTCACGATGGGCACCCAGTGGTGCCAAGAGCAGCAGAGGTGCTTTGTGAAGGCTTTGGGTACTTCCCTTGCCCAGCTCAGCAGCTCAGTGCCACCATCAAGCCAGGACCTGGACGAGCCAGAGGCAATGACCACATGTGGGGAAAGCCACCAGCAGTGACAGCAGAATTAATAACCAACCCCTGGCTGCTGCACAAATAGAGAACATTTGTCATTACCAACGAGCACCCCAGTCTTTGGGGGGAGCTGTCCCCCAGCCTGGCAGTGCTGCAGAAGCAGTGACCCCAGCAGTTTGCAGCCATCTGTGTCTGCAGAGCAGCCTGGGGTCTGTCCCTCCGTGCCGAGCTCCTGTCCGCGCTCTGCCGCTCCGTCAGCGCAAGGCTCAGCTCTGCCCTGCATCTCTGCAGCCTGGAGCTGCTGGAGGGGACAGCCCCTGGTGCCTGGAGCAGGACACCTCTGAGCAAGCAGCAGAGCCCTGGGGACGGCCGTGGCAAGGCAGTCACAGGGAGCCTGGCACTTGCCTGCCTGCAGGTCCACCCTCTCCTCCTGCCAAAGTGCCACATCTGCAGTCAATAAGGGCCCACAAGCTGGCTCCTCCTCATTAGAGGAGAGAGGGCAGCTGGCAGGGGATCCTCCAAGGGCTCCCAGGCACAGGAATCAGTCTCCTCCCAGTCTGGAATAGCCCAAATTTGGTGACTTTCTGGGCATGCTGTAAAGGACAGCTGTTTGACAGGGTCTCCAGAGAAAGCTGTGGGTATGTTTCCTACATGATGAAGGATATAGGTGGCTGGCCAAGTGCCCACAGAACTGATTTTAATGCTGTGCAGGTCGGATTCACTTTTCTGTGCTCTATAGTTCATTATACACAGTGCCCTGGACAAGCATGTGTTTCTTCCAAACAAACCAAACCCATACTATTTTAAATCCAGACAAACAAGAAAGACAAAAAATACATATTGTAAAAGATCCTTTGCACTTTTAGAGAACCTTCCCAAACTCTGGGAGGCTCTGCTTGCTTTCCTCTAACAAATAAGACTTCTGTTATTTTTATTGGCAATAAAAATAATTATTTAGCTGTAAGCAACACTGAGGCATTAACTTCACCTGTGCACATAGCACTGACCCAGAAAAATATTTCCAAGAGTTTTAAGCACCCAGATGATCTCAGGATAAGTGATCAATGGACAGTCAAGTATGTAACATAACATAACCCAAAAAAATGATCAACAGGAAAAATCACACACAAAAATTAACTGATAAGAGGCCAAAGAGCTTCCTCAACATTCTGAAGTGTAGCAGCCAGTGATATCTGTTTTGATATGAAGCCTCCAATCACACTTCACAGCATTACAGATTAATAAAACAACTCCTTCTGTAAGTCTCTTAAAAGTCATTACTGAGTGATCTCAAGTGTTGTATAATGCTTGAAAAGTCCTTCTACCTTATATAAGTTTAGGGATATTTATTTAAGCAGCATAACTGATGGAGCACAGCCCAGACAGGTACTGCTTTCTGCTAGAAAAAGCCATCCCAGAACTGGATCTGGACAATTTGACAGAAAAAGACCGCCTATCTCCTGCTGCATTATTGAAATACTTCAGATATTTGGCCAAAACACAGAAGTGACACACTACAGAAACATTCACAGCTGCAGGAGCAATAAAACCACTGCCATAATTTCACGAGGCCGTTCCTCGGAAGTGACGAGACGTCTCGAGCTGGTCACCTCTCTAACACAGCAATCCTGATAACCAAACAGAGCACGTGGAGATGGAGTTCTGGGGCTCTGGGAGCCGGGGCTTACCTGGCTCCACTTCATGCCATCCACTGGACTGGCTGCCACTGCCCGGAGAGCGCCCTTGGCTTGTGTAGAACGGCTCCTCACCAGGGCTGTCCATCTCATCCTCCACAGACTTGAGACGTTTTGTGGAGCTGGGAATGCAAGGAACACACCATGAGGGCATGGAAGAGGAACCAAGGCACTGCTGTGGGGAAATGCTTGAGAGTAACTCAAGGTGGAACAGATTTAGGGCGTTTTGGTGCGACACAAAACAACATTTCACAGGCCAAACCCCTAAACACACACCAGTTTGACCAGAAGTTAGTCTGACATATAGGCTTTCACAGATTCAGAGTAGGACATTTTTCAAAGCACGCAGAGGTCAATAAAAAGGCAAGAATTTCATCTGCATTGCATGGTTCTTGCAGTTTGAATGAATATGGTGATGACACACGAGACTTATTTTCATTGACAGATTTTTTCACGGCTAATTCTGAAAGCAAATTGTTTATCAGTTCAAACTTTTATTTTCCATCTTTTCAATTAGCCCAGTCCCATAAGAAGGAACATAGGCAGGCGGATGATGGAAGGATCCATTCTTGGTTCAAATGTTCACGCTATCCTACAACAAGAAGCATTTGACTCTGCAGCTGTGCCAGCAAGCACAGAAAGCCCCCAATGGGTATCTCTGGCCAGTGTCAGCATTACGGAATCCCCCTGTGATACATCACACCTCCCTCACCAGAGGCTCAGGACACAGAAGAGCCCTTTGAGTGGTCTCTGGTGGCCGCTGGCTCCAGCAGTTCTGCAGGGAGAGGATCCCAGAGCCAAAGACACTCAGCTTGGCTCTGCTTTCCATAATGAGTTGTACAGACTGTGTGGGGACCTTACTGAGAATTTCTCTTCTAAGTACTTTTCCAAGGCTGGGCCAGCTCACTGTTTTTTTTTTTTTTCTTTTCCCCCAAAATCTGTATTCTATTAAGACTTAAGGCATTCAAGAACAGGCTCCTCTGTGTAGGGGGAACACATTTAGCAGACATAAAATCTTCCACTCTGGTTGAGAGCTTGCAGCCTCCCCACCCGAAGCTCTGCACAGGTAGGAGCTGGCGGGTGTGCAAAACCAGTTGGTGAGAAACAGGAAGAATAAGTCTTGTGGCATGTGTGGAATGCAGGTTTGGCCATTCCTTAATTTAGAGAATTGTTATGTGTCAATAGGGGAAATTGTGTGCATACAATATAATTACCGCCTGATAATTCTGCTGAGTCTGTGTATTTAAAGAATTTTTTTTTTTTCTGACTGGGAACAGCCTAATGAGAGGAAAACAAACATATTACCAAGTTATTAACTACCCATGCTGTTTATAATTAGCTCCTTATCAGTGGTAGCTATTTGCAGAAGAATACAAGAGCAACAACTGAGCTCTTAAGTAACATTAATAACCTCACTTTTGCTTCTGGAGTCACCAGTAAATTCTACCTGAGAACGGTGCTAATGATGAGTGCTGTAGGCTACACAGTTTACAGGCAAGAAAGAAACAGCACAAAGTTTTTAATTGATGTGTAGTGGGAATTGTAGTCACCGAGCTCCATAGCGTGCACACTAAGTGCAAGACAGAATGTTCTTCCAATCACTGCAAACTGTAAGAAGTTGCAGCTAAGAGCCTCTCGTTAAAGATTATTATTTTTAAAATAAAAACAACAGCTATATTCAAACTACGGAGATTTTTCACACGTGCACTTGCTCGCTGCAAAGCTGGTGGCACTGCAGGCTGAGATAAAAATGTAAAAGAGCGTTAGGCAGGAGTTAGACTTTCTTGTCATGTCTTTGAAATAAGTGATCTATTTTGGCTGTGGGGGAAGAAAAATCAATCTGGTTCCTTAATAGTGTTCAAGACTACTCGAGTGACTGAGCTTGTTTATAAATCTAATCTCATGGATGATTAAAGTGAAAGGTAAAAAATAAAAAATATCCTTGTTTGATAGTTGGCATCTAAGTCAAAATCAAAATCAGATGGGGCAGTCATCTGCATTAGCAATTTGGTTTTCCAAAGGCTGAGTCACAAACTTCTAAATGCTTTATGAAAACTAAATGCTTTATAGACCAAGATCCTAAAACAGTCTTAGTCTCACAGGTAACACTTTTTACAATAAAAAATACATTAAAGTCTATCTCAAGACTTTCCTTGCATCTTATTATGCTCCAGGTTCTCAAGCTGAAACTCAGCAATTCCAGTTGAACTTCTTCTGATACACCCAGGTACAACCAGGACCTACACAGCAGTTTTTCTTAGAGGCTTGCACACACAAAAAGAACTTTACTGCAATCCAGCTGAACATTCAGCTCTGTGAATCTGAAACAGCTCCACATCGTGAGGCCCCCAAACAGCTTGTCAGAGAATTTAATGGTTACTTTCCCAGATGAGTAATGATGCTGGCCTGGGTTTCCAAGGAACCTGGTAGAAGGCAGAGATTAAATTACCTGGTAGAGGATGTGCTAGGCAAAGACCTCCTCATTGCTCCTGGGCTCATGCTGTAGTACGAAGAACTTTCCAAATCTGAGAGGGAGAAATTAGGGCCTGTTCCTGCAGCTATCGGTGCTGGGGAAACAAAAGAGATTGCAGTCAGTAAGTCATGTGAATATGGCATGAATTGCACTTCAAAATCACTTTCTTCTTCCTCATGGGTGTGTTTAGTTTCACGATGGGAACAGGTGGGATGTGGAAATTAGGAAATGCTAATGGTACCTGGCATTGCAATCAAGAAGATGGAAATTTTATCAAGAATACAATGTTCCATGACATAGAGTCTCTCTTACATTCCTCCAAAGATATTATTATTATTTTTTAAAATTAAACAATTACGGCACGACTTCCTCTAAGCGCTGCTTTTCTATTAATGTCATTCTAACATTTAATGAAACTTGTTGCTTTTAGGGCCACGTTGTCTCTATTGGCATGGTTACAGATAGGCTGCATCATCCCTGTAGAGTGCTTGGCAGGATCTATAAGCAGCACAGGCAGGGAAATACACACCTCAGAACCTCTGGGGTACGTGTGATGTACAGCCACAAGCACAGAGGTTAAAAAAGCAGATGAGAAACCTGAGTTCTTTTCTGCCTAAGAGCATATGAGCTTTCCTCTGGCCTCTCCTCCAGCTAAATCAGAGCTAGAGGCATACTACTCCCCAAAAGTTTTATCCAGCAGTGACCTTCCACTCTTCACCCCATCACCTTACCCAGTACTGGAATTTTTCTTGCAAGGGACACGAATCCCTGCAATTTGGTTGGATCTTTGGTTTCACATTAAACACCACAGATTCCTGCACACCCTGAAATCTGCAGGCACAAGGCATGAGCTCCATGTGCTGTATTCTTCTGAGAGCAGACAAGGAGCAGAGCAGCTTAACGTTGGAGCCAGCAGAGAATGGATTTCGTGCCGAAATGCCACTAATACAGCAAATGGTACCACGTCCACTGTGGCTGTCCCAGTGCTGTTCACAGGACAATGCGACTTTGGGGGCTGACAATCACAGACCATGAGTTTGTCTCACATTTCAGAGCCATCTGAAACAAGGACGTCCTGCACAATGAAATGCACCAGCTTGGCCTGGGCTGCATTGTCTGAGAGCCCTGATTCACAGCCACAAAGGCAAGGCAGTCTCAGTGCCACACAGCGATGCTGAGCCAAGTTTAATCTCTGGTCTGAGAACCTGGCCCATTTTCAAACATGAAAAAATCTTTCAGTCCAACGGGGAAGGAGTGAGGAAATGAAGACAGGATAGCTCCTATCACCCAGCTAACATGTCTGAGCTGGGAGTGCTGCCACTGACTGTAACGGGGCCAGTATTTCACCCCAAGTCTTAAGGAGCTCACAATGTCAGATTTGACAGAGGAATAATGTAGCTTTGCAGCTGCCTCATCATCCCCACAAGACAATTAGTTGTTGTTTGGCAAGGATCTTTTAAGAACGTCATTGAGACAGAAAGGGAACAGCCTGGATATCCACGGACTTCTAAAAGCTGGGGACGGAAAATGCACAAGGCCATTAAAACTCGAGAAAATCTGGAATGGCCATTAAAAGGAATTAAGTTGGGAAGTAATTTATGACAAGAACACTCAAATCCTTTGTTATCTTCTCTTAACTATCATAGGCTTCCTGCACGCTGGGTATATGAGAGGGTGTGTTAACAGAGGCAAAGAAAAATTAAGCACAGTAAAATTAACTGGTTTTATCAATTTGTGCTTTCTGCAACAGTTTCCTGACAGCAGCTACAAGAGGCTGTAAAACTGATGAATTTGCATGGAAAAAGAAACCGGTGTAAGTAATTTGTGTAAAAGGTAACAGGGACATGGACTGCTATAATTCAGACACCCTGCAGATAGCAGACTGCTGCAGTGTGTGCAGTTATGGGTTAGAAAAATGACCACACTGCAGTCAGTCTGACTTGAATGGAAATCAATCATAAAGGTACTCTCTGCAGCATCTACTCCACAGTTTTCAGCAACTTCCTTGCCAAACAGATTTGTGCTCTGCAAACCCTTTCCTGAGCAATTCCTCTGCACTCTCTGCCTCCCAAACTTACAGGTTAAGCACACAGTTTTCCAAACAGGAACATAAAAAGTAAGCATTAAATTAAAGCACTGTTTCTTTCTGAGGCACAATGAACTTCCTGGACATTGCCAGATTTATGAAACAGTTTTATTCCAAGGAGATAAGGAAGAAAAACTGGTATGTGGGTAATGCTTCCCTTCTTTCTTTCTCCCTGCCCTGTTTATTGCCCTTTCCCCAAATCCTGGATATTTCTTGAGTTGGCCCTATAGAAAAGAGGAATGTGTGTTCAGAGCAGGGGTAGGGTAGGAACAAGGTATTGCTGATGATTTTTAAACTCAGTGCAAAGCAGAAAGGGCTGACCCCACAGGGGCTGCTGCCTGGGTAGCAAACACTGAGGATGCTGTGCTGGTCACTGGCCAAAACCACCTTGCCACACTCAAATGTCAGTGTGAAACCAGGGGTTAAAGCACAAAACTCACCTTTAATAGACACCAGCAGAGGTTAAAGTGCCTGGCTGGGCTGTGGGGGACAGCTCCTGAACCGTGGCAGCCCTTGCACAGGAGCCACCACCCTGCCACCCTCAGCTCAAGGTCTCTGCCCCAGAAGTGCTGTGGCAAAGGATGCACAGGGCTGAGCTGCCCCAAAATCCTTCTCCTGCCTTTCTGACAGTGCCTGTCTTCCACCAAAGCCCATTTGTACCTTTGCTTGCAGTTATTGCATTTACTGCCATAAATCACAACAGCATGCTGGAGTTGTGGCTGCCCCATCCCTGGGAGTGTCCAAGGCCAGGTTGGAGCAACCTGGGATAGTGGGAGGTGTCCCTGCTGGAATGAGATGGGCTTTAAGGTCCCTTCACACCCAAACCATTCTGGGGTTCTATGGCTCCCAGCAAAGGCAGCATCTCTGCAGAGCATGCAAAGGGATCAGAGTGGTGCAAACTGTGCCAAAACTCTTATCTAAACTAAAAAACTCTGTGTAAACTAAAGAACACTGTCAGAACTAAAAATCTTTTCTAAACCAAACCTGTTCCTTGCAGCATGTGGCAATCCACCACACAACCTCCTTTCCCTTGTACCTAAGCCCCAGAACAAGGCTCCAGCCCCACGTGGAGCAGCGTGCTGGGAGCTGCAGCCTCACAAACTCCAGGCAATGACATCTAAACCACACCATTGCCCCTGCAAGAAATGCTCTGCAGCAAAGTGACCTCCTGACAGCTCTCAGGAACACTCCCTAAATGGGAAAGGATGTCAGAAACTGCAACTGTGACTCAAAGCAAAAATCTCGAGATGCCACCTGACCCAGGGCTGTTATCTGAAAGGAGGGGAGAGGGAAGGATCCCTCTCACCCCATACCTAGCCTGGAGCCCCCATTTCAGCTGCTGGCATCACAAAAATTCCCTGTGCACAGGGACACACTCAGAGGGGCAGGAGGAGCTGGTTTGCTCAAACAGGAGGAGGAGGAGGAAGGTTGGTGCCTCTGCCTGACACGTTTCTACTCCCGGGATGCAGGGCAGCATCACCCTGCTCCCAGCCTGCTCCCTCCAGCTCAGCTCTTCACCCCAAATGTCAAGAAAAATAATGGAGAAATTAAGAAAAAGCCCTCTGACTAATCCCAATTGCAATATTTATTTTGAAAAAATTACTGAATCACAGAACAGGAAACCCACCAAATAAAACCAGCCAGGCTGGCATCTGTCTCCCTTGGAATATGGCACTTTCTTTAAGCCACATTAATATTTGGCCTCTCTTTTTTCCCCCCATTTGTATGTATTTATTTTTACAGAGGGGCTGGGATGTGACTAAGATCATTACACGTGTAACACTGCAGTGAAGTGATAATGTGTTTAAGGTTAAATGGGAGAAACATGACATTTGACTAATAAACTTTTTCCTGTGTTGTGACTCCATAAACAAAGGGAAACACACTGTGCTGCTGCTGCTGGGAGGAAAGGGGAGCTGGGTGGGTTTTTTTTTTTTTTTTGCAAGGCCTTTGTTTGCTCCACACTGTATCATTAGATTCAAAGAGGCTTCGCCGAATACAACAGATATGAAATGTGTGATGTTCATTTTAAAATTACAAGTACAGCCTGCTATTGACCATCTAATTATGCTGAGTTCCATTTATAAACATAGCTAACCACTAAGTTTATAGAGACTTTTTGTGCTGCTTTAATAGGATATTGATCGAGAGCAAGGTTTGAGTGGACTGCCATTGAATTGTGTAATGGCATACAAAAGGCAAGGTCACGGCAACTGTTCACTCTATGCCTGCAGTCTATTTTTTATTATAATCTTTTTTTCTCCCTCTCATACCCAAGCCCACACAGAGAGTTTTGGATAGCAGTGCTTTCCTAAGGAATATAGAGTATCTTTTTAAATGTTAATTTTCATGCTGCTGACTTTAACTGCCTTCACTAGTGTAGTGCTTAGTATAGCAGAAAACACACGGGCTGCAGCTCAGGGACAGCAGGTTTATCACACCCCGGCTGCACACACGTGGCTGTGAGGAGGAGAAAAGCCTCTCTGGGCTACAAAAAGGCATCCAGTGCCCAGCCCAGCCCCTCCACAAGAGCCAGGGCATCCCACACCTTGCCAGGACGTGCTGGGATTCACTTTTCCTGTGGGAAAAGCTGGATGCGTTTCCTTGGTCGCACCCACGCTCTGTGCCTGGAGTCCTGGCAGTGCCTCCCCATCCCAGCCCTTGCCCTCATGGCAAGGACACTTCAGGCCCTGTCTGCATCCCCAAAGTTCCATCCCCAAGCCTGGCACCTCCTGCATCAGTGTGGATGCAGGATCCTGAGCCTCCCAAAACGTCCTGCTCACACCCGTGGAATTAGTCCGAGTGTTTCAGGGATAATCAGCTGGGCCATTTCTGCGTGTGCACAGGAGCAGTGAGCAAGTTTGTGTGCTCGTGGTGCCACAGGCTCACTAGAAGGATTGGAAGTCCCCCCCAGTGCTCCTCACTGCACACAGCACACGTTGAAGCCAACGTGTGGCATTTCCAGGCCAGGGTGCAGTCAGAATTCCCTTGTTTATCAGCACGAAGGATGATGTCATTTTGACAAATAACACACCACCAAACAAATATGTTTGATTTGGCTCTAGCCAACGTTCATAAATCCTAAATCTTTCTTCACATCCTGGGCAGTGCAGTTTATCTGGCTGCTTGAATGACCTCTGAGGGAGGAGATCTTCCCAGCAGCTCTCCCTGCACATGGTGCGCACTCAAAGCCAAGGGGGGATGCATTCCCCGTGCCTCTCTCCCCGCTCCAGCCCTTGCCAAGGGAAGGGGATGCTCTGCAGAGGGTCTCCTCCAGTGCCCTGAGATGGAATATTTTCCAGTGGAATATTTTCCCGAGCAGGGAGCAAAGGAGGAGGTTTCACTTGGCCCACAGCTGGCTGTCAGTGCCCAAAGCCGCCCGTCCCCGACGCTTCTGCTCTGAGCCCTTTGTTGTCAGCACAGACCTCTCCAGAGAGGGAAGAATGAAGCCTCTGTTATCTGCAAGGGTCCCCCCAGTATCTGGGGTGACAGACAACACTCAGAGAGGAGCTCACACCCTCTGCCTGCTAATAATGGAGGAGAACTGACAGCATGAGCTGCAACACCCACATCAGACGGGCTGGAGAGGAGCCTTTGTTTTTTCAGATGCACATCTATGATCTCTTTTCTCTGTTTTACTAGGCTCTGCAAGACTCAGCAGCTGGGCAGCATTTCGAAAGAAAATCTGCATCTATAGGACTGAAGAAAGCAAGTTTCTGTTACCAACACAGTCTAGACTTGTTCAATAGCTCACAGAAAGTGTGATGATCAGCACTGATAGGCAAGATAGATAACAGAAACAGCTGACCTTTCACTTGATTAATTCATTCCCCAAATTTGCATGACGGAGACAACTGCCTCTTACTTGAGACTCCTTGTCATGTGGACCTCTGGGAACTTTACTAAATAAACCCAGCACATAATTGCTACCCACAATATTTTGTAAGATTAGTTTTGGATAACAGCTGCCTCAGGCCAGTTAAAACTGGGGGAAATAACTTATTTCTATCACTGTATAACCAAAAGCAAGCATAGAAAGAAAAATAGCAGTGGGCATACACAAAGATGACCTTTTTGGAAAGAGGACTGGTCTCAAATCAGGACACAGGAACAAGCAGACAACCCAGAGAGGGTTATATCAACTTTAAAAGACCTTGCATACCAATTTAGGCAAATATGCAGCAATTACCTTGTTGCTCTGTTATGTTAAATAATTCTTTGAATATGAGCATGTGAATTAATACTGAGTTTTCTGGGAATGTGCTGCTGGACTTGACACTAAACATGTCCCACTGGGTAGCCAGGGCATGTCAGGCTGTGGGCTTCTCAGACCTCATAAAGTAAACAAGGTTAAGGCTGGTCAGTACATGTCTGGGGCATCTCCAAGGAAAATCCAGGGTGCTATCAAAAGCAGTGCAGCTAAATCAGTTGCTGGCACTCTTCCCTCTGAGTCAGTTCTGAAGTGATATCCCGATATGCTTTGGGGACACTATTTTTGGTAGAGGTGCTGGCTTGTAGACAGGATATAAAACTGAGGTCTTGACCTCCCAGGATTATTAAAGAGCCCATGAAAAACAGTGCAAACTCCCGTGTCTGGAACAGATAAAAGCTGAATCTTTGTATTTTTCCCACCATCACCTCCTTTCTTATTTCTAATAAAGCCCATGCTCCTCCTGCGTGCAGGTGCCCCATCCTTGAAGGTGCTGCACGTCAACTGCAAGCAGAGGGAACATCTCAGACACAGCTCATAATTTGCAAAACATGCTGAGTGCTAGGATTTCTGATACCCAGTGTTTCAGTTTAGTTACAATAAAATATCAGGGAAAATTAATAAGCTTGAAACACGATGCTCTGGAGGTCAGTGCCAAGCTCCGGGGGAGGCTGGGAAGGCTCCAGCCAGGAGTGGGGGGCACTGTACTAGGAAAAGCGCACACATGGAGCACGGCTGACAGAGTCCAGAGGCAGCTCTGCTCTGCAGGGCTGCTCCAGCCAAGATAAGGCTGTGGGGAAACGGGATGCCTGGCAGAGGGGGAGGGTGAGCCCTTGGGGCCTCAGAAGCTTCACGCTGTCACAATGAGATGAGGTGACACAGCACGGGGACACTCAGACCCTGGTGACAACCTGGGCCTGTCCAGCCTGGCTGCAGGTACCAGCCAGTCCCTGCTCCCTGCACGGCCAGACAGATGCCAAAGGCTCTGCTGAAGCACTTCAGCAAGTGAACTGATTCGCTAATGTGCTGAGCTCTCAGCAGCTCCTCCTGACTCCTGAGTCCTCTTAACTTTGCCCTTCTCCCAAAATTCCCACCAGTTGCTAGGGAGGGAAGCTTGGGAGAAATGTTTTCTTTAAAGTTTTTCTCTCTGCCTCTCTCCAGGGCATAGAGCTCACATGAATCTCCCACTTGCCATGCTTTCCTTGTACCATCCTTCTTCTGAATATAAAGCAAATTTAGTAGCTAGTGTATTTCCAAAAGAGGAAATGAATCAGGAAAATCCTCTGGAAACTCTGTGTTCTCCCTCAAAACCATGGATTTTCTACTAGGTTTGTGCCAGTTATAGTCTAGCCCCAGAATGATTTAAATTACGTTCCCAGAGCCAGCACACAAATAAATACTTCTGCTATCTAGGAGCAGAAACATTTTTATCATTTAAAGAGACTGGTTGCACCCTAAGGTTTTAAAGGGGCACAGAGCTAGGGTTTCACCTGGAGCAGTGGTGACTGGTGATAATATTGGTGATAATGTGATATTATCTCCATGCTAGCTGGAGAAAAGATCACAGAATGGTTTGGGTTAGAAGGGAACTTAAAGATCACCCAGTTCCACCCTGCCATGGTGCCATGGTGAACTTCCACAACACTTCAAGGTTGCTCCAACCTGGCCTTGGACACTTCCAGGGATGAGGAAGCCACAGGATTTCTGTGCCAGAGCTCTCCACCCTCACAGGGAAGAATTTTTAGATCCCTAAAGAAATCCCTGCAGGCCTGGCTTTGCAGCAGTGTCTCTGCAAGGGCCTGTCCACACTCTTTCCTTGGACTATCTGGATTATGTCATAGCAAAATACAATCAATGCACCTCTGATCAATGGAGCAGGGTGGTGACAGGTGCTCTTAATTTGGTGTTGTTAGTGAGTATTGACAGGGCTGTAATGATCATGCTGCAGCATGTCACTCATGCTGGGGGCATTAGCATTCTTTAAAGGTCACATCCCAAATCCTTCTGGAAGCCAGAATTCCATACAGCTAATGGCAAATGTGGCCTGGGGAAGTCAGGATGTGTGAGATCAGCAGGGCTGAAGTTGGCACAGTTGTTGTTGGCATTATTAATGACTTCAGCAACTTGCAGGTGTGCAAACCCCAAATTCAGAGAATACTCTGAGCTGGAAGGAACCCACACAGGTCATCAAAGTCCAGCTCCTGGCCCTGCACTGGGACAGCCCCAACAATCACACACACATGGATGTACACATGGCATGGATGAACACAATGGGAAAAAACAGCATCAGAAAATGTCCAGGTTTATGTGCACAGATCAGGTAATTCCCAGAGGTTTGGTTACAATACAGCTCTTGGATCCTCCAAGGGATCCATGGGAAGCTGATTTCTGATGCATTTGTCTGCACTCTGCCCATTTTCAGCTGGGTACCCGACAAACTCATCAGCTTGCACATGCAAGTTTGCAGAATCGAATTATTTATCAGCTCACTTTAAAATTCTGCTGGTTTATTTTCACCCACTAAAAGAAGTGGCACATAAATGCTGTCCACTGGCAAGAAGTGGGGAGAAGAGAGTCCTAATTTTCAAGATGCTGTTTCTGAATAGAGGAAGGGAACAATAAGAATCAAATTAAAAAAATAGCTTGGATTGCAGAAACCACATAAATCAGACACAACATGATACTTACTTTGTGAGACTCTTACTAGCTCAGTCACACTGAAAACACCTGATGTGACAAAACTGTCCTGGAAGCCCAAATGTCCTACAAAACAGAGAGAGGGAGAACTGCGATTAGCTTCAAGCATTTAATGACAGTATTCTCAAATACTTTACTTTCATTTAGACTTAAAATGTGACATCTAATTTCCCACTTAGCAGTAATTATTGTTTATGTAGGTGGGTAACCAGTCATACAGCTATGTAGGCTGCTTTGTGGTTTCTATCTAGAGGTTAGGAAAGCTAACATGACACATCAGCAGGGAGATTTTTACATGTTAAAGCATCTCAACAGGAAATCTGAAACAAAAGAGGACTATTTTAATAAACGGTTACCTTGGATGACCCCTAATGACTTCACAACTGAAATGAAAATACTGTACCTAGGAAACAGACAGGATAGCTAAGTTCCATAATCGTTTTAAACATTATTCTCTAAAGAAACATCTGATCAGGATTATCTACCCATTCATTCAAACCAAACAAGATTTAAAGATGTATTCTTCATTTTTCTAAGGTTACACTAGGGGGATCTTGGAAGAGCAGATGGTTAAAAAAAATTAAATTAAGGCTTTTTCAACTAAAAAAAAAAAAATTCTAACATTTAAATCTAGGTTTAGAAAGGAAAAATATTAACTTGAAAAAGTATGAACTTGGTGAGCTGTCTATAGGAACCAGGGCTGAGGCATCCACGCTCAGCTCCCCTGTGCAAGGAATGCCTCTACGCTCGGTATCAAAATGTGATGGCACTTTACATAACAGCATTTCCCTTCTTCTCTGCAAACATGCCTACCACCAAATGTTCATTTAATTTTCACGGCTGTGCTCAGTGACAAAGGAGCTGCAGCCAGGCCGGGACAGAGCCGGACCTCAGCGAGAGGGAGGGAGGGAAGGCAGCACTCAGGCTGACCTCCTGCTTGGGAAATCAGGGTCACCGCAGAAATCGCAGGATAAAGGGATTATTAAAAGAACTGTAAAGTCCTGCTTGCCCACAGGATAAGTGGCATACCTTTTTAGGCTGTCCTACTTAGAGTCACCGATTCCGGCGCACGCACACATTTATTATTGAATGTTTTGCAGGGGCACCATCTGCTCCGCCGGTAATTGTTTGTCAGGCTCAGTACGGTTTCCCTGCATTCTGTGTATTCTCCTGCACCCCACGCTCCTGCTGGGAATACCTGTGCACCCTCATCTGGTGGTCAGAGCAACAGGACCGATGCCAGCTGCATGTTTGTACTCCTGGCTTTTCTTTTTGGGGTTGTTTAAACAAATCCAGAATATCCCGCTGCCATTTCTACCTGTGGGATGGGATGCTAAAAGACTGCACCTTCTGCACGGGTCTGCAGAGGGTGGAATGTCAGGCTGTGTGTCAGGGCAAGGTTTGGGAGAGATCTGGAGGGAGGTGAGCCTTCCACCTCCAGCCAAGATCTGATGGAATTCTGCTCCTCCACAGAAGAAGTTCCCTGTTTCTGCGAGGAGCCCACGGTGCCAGACGAACGCAGTCTCTAAGCTAACAGACTCGAGACAAGTTTCTGCATCAGGCATGTTTTTATACTCCAGCAATAATGATGAGTTTTCAAACTGTGTATATGTATATCTTTGGGCATCCTTGTGTATGTGTGTATACATATGTATTATGTACACAAACATATAAATATACACAAATCTGTCATGCTCCAGCTGTAGATAAATGTACTATAAAATATTGAAATTGATGCTGAAATTCAACACAAACAAATTCCTCAATCTGCAAACAAGGTTTTTATTTACATCAAGAGAATAAATTTTTCCCTACTTCAAATGAAAAAAAATGTTCTTACAAGCTTTTATTTTTCCTTATTTTCAATTTAGAAATAGCTCCCAGATAGCTGTAAGTGCTATTGCCTGATCTGCTTTGTATTTTCCCACAATAAAGGTGATGACTACCTCATTCTGCTTTTTAGAAACGGTTGCTGCCCATACACAACGTTTGTTCATCGCCGATTTCCCAAGTATTTTTAATATGAAGATCTACTTTTCATATGCTGCAGCAGACCTGCCTATTGAATTAAATGATCTGTGAATTAAAAATAATTCTCTTAGGTCTTCACTGAAACCACTCATGTGCCTAAAATTAAGCATATGCTTAAGTGCCTTGCTGGATCGGGGCCAGGACGCTTACTACTCCGCAGAGCCCTTCTGAGGGAAGCCAGTCCATGCTATGTAACTTCTCACACTGTGCTCATCATGGCAGCATCTGAGCAACTTCCAGAAGTGCATCCAGCAATGCCACGAACATCTGCCACGTGCTGTTTTTTCCTGCAGCACACCACCCTGACTCTGCTCTGCCGTCCGCTCCCACCTGCATTTCCCAGGCAGGAGAGTGAAGGTGAAATTTAAATATGGAAGGGAAAAAAACCCCAAACCCTGAATCACAGCCACTGTAGGATATTTGGCTGATTTTTTAAAGGGAAAGCCCAGAGCCCTTTGTAATTATCCAGTAAAAATGTGATTGTGGCAAGGCAAACCATGCTACTTTAACCTGTCACAACTGAAACCAGAAATGAAAGTGTCATTTAAAATACCTTCTAACTCTCAGTGCATGAGAGAAGACGAATAAGTTATCTTGGGCATGGTGACTTCAGTATTCCTATCTTGGGTACACTTCAAATGCCCACTTACTCCTGCAGGAACATTCCTTATTGGGAGTACATGCAATAGTAATCATTAAACAACAGAATGCAACAAGCATGGCAAGATTTTCACCCTTCAATACCAAAAATAAACATTTCACAAATGAAAGGTGAATTTCACAACTCTCCAATTTGATATTTACTTATAAGCATTAGGAAATCAGGGGCTTGCCTTGCCAATCATTAAGGAAACCCTGATACCCACAAAAGCCTTGCCCTTGGCTTAGAGGTGGATCGTGAATGTATTTTAGGGTATGGCTGGTCTGTGAATTTGCAGTTCAGGAATTTTTAAAGGTTTGCCTGGATGGCTCAGACTGCAAAATCCAGGCCTAGGACTCTTGTTTTTGCTGAGCTTGGATAACAGTGAGAGAAGAAAACAAGGGAAATACTACAAAGAACTTAAATGTGTAAAAGAAGAATTACTGGGAAACAGCAGCACTGACAAAAGATGTGAAGCTAACAATGTTAACAGGGCTCAAAATTCAAAAAATGCATCAGTTTGGCTGATCCACTTAATTCTGAATGAGGAGAAAAACAGGTAAAGTCAAGCAATTACATATGCAGATGTTAGCATTAAGAAGCTCCTGCACTGAAAAGATGATTAAACATCCTGAAAGCTCCCAAGATTTACTTTTCATGGTGCACTTTACTGAAGCACTTGCACTGTGATAATTTTGCTCAGCATCCAAGAGATGGGACATTGAAACTGCTGTCTATGACAGGCTGTGTCTGCAGCTTTGTCACAGTTTGGTAGTAAAGGAGGTGCTCAGAATGAACCTCACAGAGTTCATTCACGGCAGTTTTGGGTACAAATTAATATACGTGGCTGTTAATTAATACCAGGGCAGGTATTAATACCTGGCTGTTAAATTAATACCAGGGCAGGCCCTGACTCAGCAAAGCTGCTGGAACACGTGCTCCACTTCCATCACATGCCTGCCTAAAGCACGTGCTCGCTGCCCTGCCAAACAAGGATGGGCTGACAACCTCCAGGAGGAATTAAATAAATGGTTCAATCATTCCTTCATGCAAGTCTAGGGGCAGGTAGGACATAGCTCATCACCTAAGATCCCACTTCAGCCCACAAGGATGATCATCTTTCCCTAAGGGGGGAAAACATCCAGGATAATAAGACCAAATTGAATAAAGAAGATCAGGATAGTAACTATTAAATCATTGTGCACAACAGCACGACGTTACTGTACCAGGTACCACATGGAAAACATTTTTTCCATAACTCGATGGCTGCTTTAATTGGGGAGAAAATTCCCAATGCCATTTACATATTCTTCCTTTGGATCCCAGCAAAGAAGCCAGAAGAAAAGGCTTCAGTTGCTGGGGCCTAATTCTGATCTTTCTCAAAGAAGTTTTAAACAAATCTTTCTGCACAGATCAAATAGAGTTTCACCTCATTTTCTCCTAATTTACACTGGCAGAGGAGAAATCAGGATTAGGACTTGTTGTCTAGTGCTATTTGTTTTGAATTATTAAGCAAACATTCCTATTTCAATGAGTAAACGTGTACAAAGGCAACTAACCTTCGTCCTAAAATGGAGTTTACAGGGAGAGTATTGTCTGCTTTCCCAATTAATGCAGTAAAAAGGAGTCTCAGACGTTGAGTTACCAATCAAGAGCTTGTGTTGTAGCTTGAGAAAATCATGACTGATGCAATTACTTTTATGTAGAAAGTCTGAATATAGTCTATAGGTTAAAGTTCATGGGGTTATTGTTCCTTAATTGAATATCTGAAGATGTTTTCAAGGTGCTCAAGGTATTATTGTTATTTAATTAGCAGGCTTCCTTGCATATTCCAACAGTATTATTTTTGCTGTGAAATAGCTAGATTGCACCATAAACATACAAGGTATTTTCTAAACAGAGATGCAGCTGGTTTCCTGAAAGCCAAGCTTAAATAAAACTGGGAGAGAGTTACTCCTTTGAAGATGAAGAAGCCCAAATCCAGTTATTTTTCTTCCTGAGTGACAGTGTATTAAGCTTCAGAGAACAGCTTTTTTGGAGACTTTCATTCCTTTTCAGTGTTTTGAAATTACACAAGTCCCCCAAACTAACACTGAACCCATTTCTAAGGCTTTTTTCATGTTCAGCATCTCACTATACATAGCCATCTTAAAACCTTAAAATAGTAATAATCAATTAGGGTCTCAAGCCTATTATCTTAACCAAATGCCTGATTAAAAGAAAAGCCCTCTCTGCTCGAAGTGCAACTTGATTCCTTTTGGTTTTATCCTCTATCTAGATAATCCCATGTTTCACAAACAATGCGGAGCAATAATGTGGATGAGAAAATTAATGTCTGTATCACACAGCACACGCAGGCCTGCAGAGAGGGGATGTTATCAGAGGGAACCCAGCT